CCCAATACATGATTCAACAATCTAACACAATAAAACATACAACCAAAGTCCAGGGGTAGAACCATTCAAATGGCATTATGACTCATAAAATACTTCGCAAATTCAACCTTTGTTTGATTGATGTCATCCTCGGTGTATTCCAGATTTCCCCGACGCGCCCACTGAAAATCGTAGGAAAAAACCAAATATCTAATAAGCCAATCATAGAAGTGATGAAGTAAATATAGGATGCAACACATAAGAACTGATTTGTATGAAGGCATTATCCGTGATGACTAACACTAAAGAACTGGCCAATAATTAATACTCAAACCTTCACTAGCATTGAGTAGTACACATTATTAGTGAACTATAAGAGGCTCTACTTAATGTTAAAGTCTCTCCTGATTAAAAACACCAGAACTGTACACAAAATAAAAAACTCTGTACAGCGCTATCTTAAATTAGCTTCAAATTAAATCTGTGTAAAGAGCATGTATTAGAAATTGCATTTATCCAGAAATTCAAACTAAAAAAAACACACTCCTAAATGATACACTGATGCAAAGAAGCACTTAATAGAGAACACATAAAAGCGACATGCAATTCAAACTTTGCAATTCGGTAATGGTATGATAACATGCAATACAGTAAATATCCCCAGAATAAGAGAAAGGCACAATAAGTGTGAACCATCCGAAACAAGAAAAACTACATTTAAGACAACAATATTACCTTTGAAGCAAATTGAACCTCCTTATCCTGACAGATCTCTTTCATGTATCGCATTACAAACAAGCCACAGTCTACACTCCCTTTTTGCATCGGGATGCCCTAAAAAACAAAAATATAAAGTACGTTATACAACAGTTCTCATTCAACCTGCAATACATACAAAATAATAAGAATCATATAATACCGCCATGTTCTCCCAGGACACTTTCTTTTTCAACATAGGTGTGTTCATGGTACCTTTGTACAAAACTATAGCACTATAAGGAAACCAAAAAAGATAAATAGAGAAATGTTAAAATCAAGAGTGATAGGAAATACCAAAGATTTTTGTTCATTGAGTCACTACTTACTTATCAACCACTTCAGTCCACTCCTGACTATCTATACGCCGTTTAAGAGGGTCCATGTAGTACACTACCTCTTCATTAGGTTTGACAACAGTCAAAGCCCAATGATTCCTACAAATAAAAACATATATGAATTACGACATTCTCACAAACTTAAAGAAATTCGCATTTACATAAGTGTATTAACAAAGCATTACAAATGCAAATTGAAGACGAAGTTCACAAGGAAGAAACAATTCAGAACATCAGTTCTTGACATGAACAACTTAAACATACTTACACGTCATTGAACGGTATTAGAAAGTGCATGTTGTCCATCACAGGCCCCCTTAAAGCGATCAGCAAGCTTGCGTGACCTCTGCCCTATGTTCCCACATGCAAGCGTCCCTACCATGCCGGATCCACGAAAGAGATCATCTGAAGCATTTTGTTTTTTTTCACAAGCTCATACAGGCAGCTGCAAGGGTAATTACATGATAGTTATGTGACTTGTCCATAAGAATTTTATATCAAAAGGCTTTTAACAATGAAAATAAAATGTTTGTGTGATGACATTCTTACTGGATGTATAATTTAATTATGCTTCCAGCCATCTCGCCACGAGCGCACAGAGCATGTATATCACTCAGAAAAACTGATAACTTCTTTTCCACCCCAAAGGCATCTTTATTAAGGACAAAAGTATGTGCTCTATCATCATACAATGCTTCCTTAGCCCACAACCATAGCCGTTTCAACTGCAGTGGATACTCAGCACCAAATTCTACTTGGAACTCTTGGCCACATTCCTCATCGTCTTGAACATGTGCCTTTTTCAATCTTTTAGGGGCCTTTTTCTTTTTGATAGTTTTTAAATTGCTCTACAAAAAATGTGCACGTGGGTAAATATATTATCTAAAA